GATGCAAATTAACTTCCCTTTATGCAAACAAAATGTTTGGAGATATTCTCCTTAAATCCAAAATATCAAATCTGTCCTGGTAAACACCACAGTTATTTGGCAAGAAAACAAATAAATGCACAGTTCTCAGTTGTTTTTTTTTGTTGTTTTTTTTTAAAGTCTGCCACAAGCCTCCCCACCAGTTGCATAACTTTTCCTCTTTGCAGTAAGTCTCCAGTCTAACTGGATGTTCTGTCTTCCTTGGCTCAGTATTAATACGCCATTCAACTTGAGGAGTTCAGCATCTGGCCACAGAAGTCCTTTGAGAATGGCTCATCAGTGCACTAAAATGAGCTATAAGCTTTTTTTTTTTTCCTCCTGCTAGCAGGTTTACATTTTCTGTAAACACAACATTCAATTGATTTTTCAGAATCAAGCACTTAGTTCTCCTCACCTGTTTATTGATCTCTGTGATATTTATCCAAACTTTACTCAGCCCCAGTTCTCCAGTCTCAATTTGCTCTAGTTGCTTCTGCTGCTGCACCAAATCTTCATTCAGTTTAGGAATTTCTTGGAAGGATGTCTTTTGGTTAGACTCCACTAGACAGACAAACAAAACAATAAAACTTAGATATCCAAGTAAACAATGTCACACAGGCGAGGAACAAACTACAAGCAGAAACATCTACAGTAGTTTAAGGCAGCAGTAACAGTTTCTACATGAGTTTATTGCCACTTCTGCACTAAATATCTGCTTGAAACAGCAGCTCACTCCTGTAGAGAAAACCCAACAAGACCCTATTGAATGCAAGGCTTTGCAATAGTCCTGTCACCTCGGCAAACTTCAACAGGTCTTTTTTTAGTACTGTTACTTGGCACTACTTTGACAGGGAGATAGGAAATAATAACAACAGTAAACACAAACTATCAACATCACTAGGGCAAAGGAGACACGTGAAATGAAACTCAGTGCCCCATATAAAGAGGTCAGTGGTGATGCAGTGAATTCCAAAGAGATTAACGTGATTACAGTTCTTCCACATGACAAGAAGACAACTGAGAAAAATGGATAAGCTTACACACCAATATCTGTTGGTAAACAAATCAATAGACACATGCCTTGGAAATAAAGTCAGTCATTACTGCATTTAATAACAGAGAAGGGGAAAACGTGGCTCAAATGAATCCTAGTGAGCCTGAGAAATGCAGCTCTTCCGGGTGTGCAGTGACTAAGCTGTTTAGCTGCAAGTGCTATTAGGCAACCCTAAATCCTCGGGTATGGGAGACATGAAAGCAAAGCTTTTGAGATGGGAATGACAGGATTCCGCACAACCAGCACCTCAGCTCTGCAATGCTCCAGCATAAACTGCCATCTTCCAGAGCCCAGACTGCTGACAGCACTGAGACCTGACAGTGTGTTTCAGGATGAATTTCCACGTGGGAAATTCCATAGGGCCCGAAGGGGCAAAGCCCTTCAAGAGTGCTTGATGCCCACAGAGTGGATGCCTAATTACACCCACTAATTACACAGAATGCGTGCATTTTCTAAAAGCCACTTCACCTCTCTTAAAGCAAGTTCTAAAGTCAATTCTAGGAATGGAGTAACCTACTCTGATCACCCAAGATTCAAATAATGCTTGTGGTTACAATGTTCTTTAAAGGTGTGTTTTAGCCAAATCAAACTCAGAGCTGCTTGTGCATTTGCATACCTTGATGCAATTACATGACACTGAATCTCCTCATGTGAGAGCCTCTTGTAAACAGTTTACTTTCCATTTTGCTACTCTCACTGTGTACAGCAAAACTGCATTTAAGACTTTCTCTACAGTGCTAGGAAGGTTAGATACTACATGCACATTCTTAGCATCACTACTAACAACCAAATGGCAATGCTACAATGATTGCCACCCACTCTAAATGTACTAGACATACAAAGAAGTCTTATTTTTTTAAAAAAAAGCTCTCATTCCACTCAGCTTGCTCAAAGGATGGCAGAATAAGAACTGCCTTAGGAATCTGCTCTTATGGGGGAAAAAATGGAGATGAAGATTCAGAGAAGACTGTTTATTCTGAGCAGCCACAGGAACAATGGACCTGCGTGACTTTGCTCCTCCTTCCACCCACCTGTTCCACCAAAGCAGAGTTTATCTTTTGGAACCAGGCTATTCTTGCTGTCCATCTTTCTGTTGTTGCTGTTCTTGTTTTTAAATGATGCCTCCCTCATCCAGCTTCTAGGGAGCTACTTCTACTTCAGCAACAAGGAAATGCAGGACTGTTTTATCGCTGCATGAAGGATAATGTGCTGTTTTTCTATCAGAGCTATTAAGGAGAGAACAAGCACAGCTGTGGCAGCCAGACAGCGTGCCTGAATCGAACAACTGCTTTAACAAAGATGCCTGTGTACAACAGGAATGATGAAACTTTACTACACCAAAGCCAACAGATGTCATCACACAGAACTTTTACTGCTAGTACACACCACAGCTTCAAGTATATATCAGTGCATGAAGACCAGCAGTTAGCTTACCCATAACAGGACAAAACCAGGCTCAGCATGCTTAGAGCCTAGAGCCACAAGGCAGTGCTAGCCAGCAATCAGCTCCTCCCCACCTTGCAGCAACATTACACACCCAGCAGGAAGCCCCAGACACCCACAGCTGAGAACTTCTCAAAGAACAGCAAACACACTTCCTCAGTATCTGTTTCTACCACAAACAAATGAAGCTCTCTACCTGCCTCCAGCCTGAGCATCCTCAAACTATTCTATTCAATTCCAAGAACTTTGGCCTTGTTTTTAAGATTGTCTCGAGCAAAAAAAAAATATATATATATACACATATATAAATAAAAAATAGAAATCCTAACATAAAGACCAAAAGTTATGGGGCAAAACCTGCACTGAACAAAGATACTCTTCAGGCAAAACTTCAAGCTTTGCTATCTTCTGCTCCTTTCACACAGCTCCTCTGCTTACTGCTGCCTCCTTCAATAGATGGAATTTTTATACACTACTAAAATAAGGTACCAAAGCATACTTTGTATCCAGAGGTAAGGCAAAGAGCACTTCAGGTAAACCTTGTCACTTGTTATACATCAGCACTACAGCAGCAGTTACAGTACTGAAAACTTGAATGTTGACTTAAACAGAGGAAACTTGAGAAACTTCACGTCACCTCCAGTCCAAAGTATCAAACATGATAAAACCCAACACCATATGCAACAGAACACTAAGTTGAACAAACACGAGTTAATGAAAGCCAGATAAACACTCCAAAGATACATCAGAACAACATAAAGTAACGTTTAAATTGCAGTAACAGAACTGCAAGTATTAGAGGCAAGAGAGCTCAAGACAAGAACACAAACCTCCATTTTTTTTTTTTTTTGGGGGGGGGGGGGGGGGGGGGGGGGATGAAGAAGGATGAAAATTCCTCAGGCTGCTTTCTTAGAACTTTTTCTAGCAGTGGCTTCAGAGGGGAGCACTGCCAAACCCAAAGTAGGTCCTTCAGAAGCACACATGCACAAGTGGCTGTGTCCCTCTTCCTTGGGAGGTACCAGCAGTAAGAACACAGGCCACATGCCTCAGGCTTGCTCAGCCTCCAGTTATTTTGGGTTCAGAGGACTCCTCCAGTCACGGCAGCGTGTCAGCTCTGTGCCTGCAGGTGCAGAGCGAGCAGGTGGGCAACCAGAGCTCTCCATGCAACCCAAAGCAAACACGCAGCAGCACAGCCACACGTACTTACTGGTTCGGAACTTTTCCTTAATCACATCCAGGTCCTCCTTGAGAGCCACCTGCATCCATACCAGGCCCACACACGCCACCACGCAGGCGGCCAGAATGACAAAAGCACAGAGCGGGTAACAGAACTTGCAGCAGCGTACGTAGTCCGCCCTGGAGAAAGCAGACAAGCGCTCTAAGATCACCGGTCCAACCTCACCCCTCCATGCCACCGCCCGCCCCCTCAGCGCCGCAACCCCCGGTCCCCGACCACCCATAGGGTCGGTGACCCCACAGCGGCTCAGCCCCCGGCCGAAGCCCCGCTCTCACTTGGCGCAGCGGCCCCGTCCGTCCGCCGTCGCGAACTCGTCGTCCTCGGAGCTGGACTCGGAGTCGGACGCGGGCGGTTCGGTGCGCAGCAGCCGGTGCCCGGAGCCTTTCTTGGCGGGCTTCTTCCTGCGGCCGTCGGCGGCCAGGCCGATGAGGGCGTTCAGCTCCTTGCGCTTCTTCATCCTCTTGTGCGGCGTGGGGGGCGGCGGAGCGGCCGGCGGCTGCCCCTCGCTGCCGCCTCCTCCTCCTCCTCCTCCTTCCGCCGCCGCGGCCCCCGCCGCTTCCGCGCCCCGACTCGCCAGCTCAGCGGGGCCCCGCCGCGGCTACAGGCGCTGCGCGGGGCCGCCGCTGCTCCCCCGCCGGCCCCGCGGAGCCGCGTCCCGGTCCCCCGCCCGCGCCATGGCAGCCGCCGCCGGCGCCGCCGCGGCCCGCCCCTCGCCCGCCAGCAAGCCGCGCTCCCGTTGGGCGGCGGGACCCGCCCCGCCTCTCCGCTGGGGTGAAAGCGGTGTGTGGGAACGCGGGTTCGAATCCCGCCTCCTCCAGGAGTAACCCGTCGCCTGCAGAGTCGCTGAGGGGATAGCGGTGGGAAATGTCGCGGGTTCGAATCCCGCCTCCGCCACGGAGGCCTTGCTGCTGTAGAGGCAGCCCCACAGAGCGGGTATTCCCTACAGACAGCGTTTGTGAGCACGGTGAAGTGTGATTTTGATGCCAAGACAGCTTTATACTTGACGTCATTATCTCTCACCCTATGGCTCTCTACAGCTCTCTGAAAGGAGGTCGTGGTGAGGTGGACATCAGCCTCTTCTCCCACGTAACTGTGAGAGGATGGCCTTACAGTACTCCAGGGGAAGTTTTGGTTGGACAAAACGAAAATTTCCTTCTGAGAAAGAGCAGTGATGCAGTGGCACAGCTGCACAGGCAGGTCACCATCCCTGGAGGTGCTCCAGAACTGTGAAGATGTGGCACTGAGGGACGTGGTCAGTGGTTGCACTTGGTGTTCTCAGAAGACTTTCCCAACCTTAAAGATTCTATGTTTCTCCGCACTAAACAATCCTGGTTCTCCACAGCATCCCCTCACGTCCATCAGCCACCCCTGGTGCCCGTTGTTTGTCCCCATGAAGGCACACAGGAGCAGTCCCCAAAGCCTGGTGGTACCACCGTGTGCAAATTGCTGCAGGAACACCCGGCCATCGCTCAGCCATGCTTTGGGCATTGCTTTCTGCCTGTGACTTGCCCCGTGACAGAATTTGTCTGTCCCTCGCCAAGCTCACTATGGAGAATGCACCTCCACATTTTGTGCCGAGTGTTTTTAAGCTACGGCTTAAAATCACAGCTCAGGTCGCGTAGGGAGTCACACGACGAGAGCATCACTGGAGTGAAGCCTTGAAACTCCACATACAGCATTTTTGCCAAATATGCACGTCGGGTCTCCCGAGAAGAAAACTGAATTCACTGGGGCAATTAGGAACGTATATACACACATAAAGGTGACGGGGGGAACCCGAGGCAGCTCCCCGGCAGTCCGTGCTTTTCCCCTCCTCCCTTAGTGCCAGCACCGCCCGCGCTCCTCCTCCCGTTCTGCCCGATCCCCGGCGCCGGGCAGGGCTGGATGCTCCGCTCTCAATAAGCGCTGCCGTGATTCGGCGGCCGCTCGGACCGCGGGCCCGGCCCCTCCGCCCTGCATCGGCCGCCGGCGGGGATAAGAGCGCCGGTGCCCGCGGGTACCGCAAGGATGAAGGCGTCCTGGTTCGGCGTGGATGTGGCCCGCGTGCTGCACTTAGCCGCCGTCTTCTGCTTGACGTGCGTGCTGCTGAAGGCCATCCAGCTGTACCACCGGCGGCGGGAGCTGCTGCGGGCTCTGTCCGCCTTCCCCGGGCACCCCACGCACTGGCTGCTCGGGCACGTTCAGGAGGTGCGGCGGAGCGAGGGTGGGCGCTGCGGAAGGAGGTGACGCGTGGGGGTGATGTGCGGGAGGACCGTTTTTTCCCCGTGCCTTTTCTCTGCTGGGAGCGGCGTGTGGATGCGATGGGAAAAGATGCGATAGGTTGGCAAGGAGAGGAGGCAGGATTTAAGGCTTTATGAGGTTGATTTGACACCCTGGCTAACTACACGCATGTATATAAAAAAAAGTCATGCTTGGAGCGCATGGCTGTACCTCAAGGTATGCATTTTTCCATGCAGATCAGCTTGGCTGTTGGTTGTTGGCAGCTTTGTGAGTTGGCCAGTGTGAAAGGCTTTTTAATTAAAGCAAAAATGGAAAAGCTTTTGAATTTGTGCTGGAAGCACTCAAAGCCCCATCAGCCTGGCCTTGAGCAGCTTGTTCTGGTGGCATGCATCCCTGCCTTGATGGTCTTTAAGATCATTTCCACCCCAAGCTGTGCTGTGTGTCAGCTTTTAGCATGCTGACCCCTCACCTGGGCTCTGCTGATCCCCTGCCTTGGCACATTAAATAACAAGCAACCCAAAGAGCAAGGCGGAAAAAGTGGTGAAAATGTTCAGCCAGACAGGAGACCCCTGAGTGACCACATCCACGCTGTAGTCTCTCTTTGTCTGACAGTACGAATGAGCTCTTGGCAATACAAGCACGAGGCCAGGCCAGCTTGGGGGTTTGTTGTAGTGCCAGTTAGACTTTAAAACTGCAGTTAAACAGAGCATGTTCATCAGATTCTCAGTTGTGCCAGATTACACTGGGACGGAATTCTTTGGTGCTGATCACTCACACACCACACTAATCGTTAGGTTGTTTTCAGTTTACCTTTCACCTTGGACAAAGGTAACCTTTTATGTTGGACATGCTTCTGTCGTTGAAGGAGAGTTCTGTTAGTTTTACTCAGTGCTGCTAAGTTTGCTAGAAGCCAGCAGCTGTGAGCTGGTGAGGAAGCTGTCAGTGCCCTGGACACGTGCTGAAAGCAACATCTGCAGGTGTCTTGGTGGAGGATGTCTGGCAGCTGTATTTGGGAGAGCACTGAGAGCTCCTATTTCCATCTAGCTCTGTCTCACTGCAGTACCATAGCTATTAAAACCCAGAGCATCGGTTCCTGGCTACCCTTCCTCATGGGCACAACTCCTGGGGAGCAGAGGGAGGTGGCCCAGGAGGGTTCAGTCCCTCAGCAGCCTCTCATGTGCATCTTGCCTATTTCAGCATCTGGTGGAGGATGCCTATTTTTGACCAAGAGTGGAGCAGCTCAGTGCTCAGATTTCAGCTCCTGTGTTTCCTCTGCTTCATTTGTTATCAGTGTGTGGTCATTAAAAATCCCCTTAGGCACCTCTTCCCAGATGCTTTTAATGCTGGATCCATTCCAAAGCTTGCATTTCAATGTGAGATCATGCTATCGCTTTTCTTCCTTAGAAGAGCTGGGGTTACACTTTCCTCTCAAAACACCCAAGGGAGGAAGAAAGAGAAGTGCTGTTTTATATTTTTTTGTTGTTGCTGTTGTTTTTTTACCCAAAGCCTCGTGTCTGGAGCTCTGGTAAAGAAGCAGGAGCTGTCAGTGGATGTTCCTCTCTGTCCTTCTTGGATAACCACAACAGAACTAAAGGTCATGGCCTTAGGTTTCTCCAGAGGAGGTTCAGTTTAGGTATTAGGAAAAATGTCTTTTCGGAAATAGAGGTGATGCAGTGGCACAGCTACACAGGAAGGTGGTGGGGTCACCGTTCCTGGAGGTGTCCAAGAACTGTGGGGTTGTGGCACTGAGGGATGTGGTCAGTGGGCATGGTGGGGTGAGGTTGAACTGGATGATATTAGAGGTCTTCTCCAACCTCAGTGATTCTTCGATTACCTCTCCTTGCATCTGCCTTCTGCTCTGGGATTACTCTCAGTTGCATTGATCAAACTGGGTTCCAATGCTCTAAAGGTGCAGTGACTGTTACTGGGACTTAAGCCATCTGGAAAAGCCAAGCACAGCGAGGTTTATTGCTGCCCCAGTTTCTTCCAGCATGTTTATGCTTTCTGTTATTGCACCAACAGGAGGAAACACAGGCACCATGCCAAGTCCCCTCTCTTAGACACTGTCTAAGGTATAGGCTGGTGGGGGCTGGGCTGCTGCCGGACCCTCTGGAACAGTGCTGGGGCACAAATACTTGCTTGAGAAATGCCAGCCAAGCAAATAGCTGAACCAAAAGAAGTCAGCACTAAAGGAACTGAGCAAACATTCACTCAATTCAGTAAATAGGGTGACATTTCGGCTCATTTCTACACCGCTATCGAATCTGTTGCACTTCAGCAGCTACCATTTCAGCCCTAGCTCACCAAAATCCTTCCCTCCGCTTTGTCATAGCTGGACTAGGTTTGTGCATGAGTTAGCAGCTTTGGCAGAGCAGTTTTTGTTTAAATAAAAAGCAATTTGTACATGTGGACTTTTTGTCTCTGCTTGTGACTCTTTGCACTAACCTATCTAACCAGTTTGTTGCTTGTTGCCTGTTTTATATACAATAAAACTGCCTGCAAAAGCAATAAAACAATCATTGCTTTCAAAGAGGGAAGTGCCGACTACCACTGCTACAATTATCAACATCCATGCATGCAGCAATAAACAGTGTGCACTTCTGCCCATAAGGGTGTTCTCCATGGCTATGATCAATTGATAAGGAATAATTATTCTATATGATGGTTGAAAGTAATAATCACCTTTACTTCTCCTGCCCTGCAAACCCAGGGCAGCCCCTTGCTGGTGATAGCTCGGTTTTGTGATACAGGAAGACCTTCAGCTTTTGAAAACAGTTGCTAAGGAGATTTTGAGTTTTCACCAAACCTGAGCTTTCTGTCTCTTCTCCCTTCTCCACAACTACAGTTTCTCAAAGAAGAAGATCAGCTGGAAAAGGCAGAGGCCTGGGCACTGAAGTACCAATATGCCCACCCTGTGTGGTTCGGGAGTTTCTCAGCCTTCCTGGTGGTCACCAACCCTGAATATGCCAAAGCCCTTTTTGCCAGAGGAGGTAAGAGGCAATGGTTCAACTGTGGAGCAGCAGCCACAGACTGCAGCTTTCCCATGCCAGGATGGCAATTCTCAGCAAGGCAGGGTGTCACAAACAGAAATCAACTTTGGGTTATTTTACAGAGAGAACTGGCTGCTGCGTGCTTCAGGCATGCAGCTGCATGGCCCACTGAGGGCTGCAAGGGACCAGAGATCCTCGAAATCTACTAGCAGGTCTACCTTCCTTGAGTCCTCCTTGAAAAGGTCCCTTCTTAGAGCCTAATCTCAGCAAGGAGAAGACAGCTCAGAGCTTTGGTGTTGGCTCAGTCCCACTGAGCTGTTGGTTTGGTGAATCCAGTGAGAAAAGCGCTCAACAGTGCGTCTGTTAATCATTTACCCTGAAACATCCCCGTTTGACTTTGGACTACCAGTACTTTTGTTTACTCCAGTCTGAACATCTGCATTTAGACATTTTCTCTCAATTAGGCCCAACAGTATTGTTTTGCCATGAAACAGTGGTCACTTCTGCAAGGATGCCACTAGTTCGGCTTCACACCCAACTGAAAGCAATACCCCAGGGTGAGCTTTCAGGTGCCAACCAGTGGAGCAATGCTGGTGAAATATTTACCATTTCTTTCTCTTCTCCCCTCTTTCTTTTACAGATCCCAAGGATAACCTCGGCTATAAGCACCTTATCCCATGGATTGGTAGGTATTCCCAGGCCCTTGCCTACCGGGAACTATCCTGAGGCTAGTTGAGAACACATTATAAATAAGCAGCATTGCACTTGTTCCTTCCAAAAAATGTCCTGAAGTTATTCTGCTTATTGGAAAAGGTGCTAAATAATGCTAGTTTTTGTGATATTAAAGTTCAAACATAGCCAATCATACAAATGAGAATTGCTTACGCCTGGAGGTGACCACAATCTCCGGAAATGATCTATTGAGGCAGATCTGGTTGTGTTGTGTCTGTAGAAACCATTCTGCTTGTTCACTGATTGTATTTCCAAAGGGAACGGCTTGCTGATCCTACACGGGCCCAAATGGCACCAACATCGGAAGCTCCTAACGCCAGGCTTTCATTATGACGTCTTGAAGCCTTATGTAGCCCTCATGGCAGAGTCTACCAATGTGATGCTGGTAGGGACAGTGCCTGTACCTCTCTCTGTCCTATCACCCATGATCCTGATTGTAAACATGAGACAAGAGTCTACCTGCAGTGCCCTGGCTGCTAGTACCTGCAAAGATGAGCTGTGACTAGGGCAAGGAGCTGGAGGCCAGTTGTGTCAGTCCATTCCACTAGGTGGCAATCTGTACCAAAGACAAAATTCCATCCACATAAGCGCTGTTCCCCAGCCTGGTTTCATGCTGTGAGAATTCAGGTGCATCCATGCTCCTTTCTCTGTTCCCTTTCTCAGCTTTTTGGTCACCACTTCCTTATGGTTCTAGAAGGAAAGAGGATCCAAAGTAATTTTGCAGCATTTATGGTTTCTCTTAGGATACCCTATGGGAAGAATTGAGCAAGAGCTCCCATATATTTTATGCTGAAAAAACACAGTGGAACAGAAATCATGAGATGCAGGGAAAGCCTTGATTGGAAGCTTGCATCCTAGGCACTTAAGTCATATGTTCTTGAGAGATAAAGAAAAAAGAGGCTGGGGAAACCTGGTGCCAGCACACATTGTTCTGGCTGCTGGCTCCCTTCAATGGACTTTTGACTGCAACTAAGAGATCCTCTTAACTTCTCCTTTCCTTCAGGACACACCCCATGCTGAACACTTGCTTAATGGGAAGGTGAGTGCAGAACTGTCCTTTGCATTCTCATTTTTGTCTCCTTTGCCCACTAGGATAAGTGGGAAAAGGTGATCACAAATGGGAAACCGGTGGAGCTCTTTGAGCATGTCAGCTTGATGACTCTCGACAGCATCATGAAATGTGCCTTCAGCTACCAAAGCAACTGCCAGACAGACAGGTCAGTGCCCAAGTCCTGGCTGAAAGTTTGCAGCTCAGAGAGAAAGCGGGCAAACTGCTTGTCAAAATACACCCAAATTTAGGCTTTGACCTAAATAAACCTGACTCACATTGCAGGGTCTGTTGGGCAAGCACTTGCTCAGTAGTAGTGCAAGCAGCCTTCTTACAGAAGGCTTGCAGAATACTTCCTGATGCCATTATCCCTTAATACTTGGTTAGTCACTACTGATGAACCCCAGGGAGGCTGGGGACAGAACAGATTCCAGGTGGGTACATAGTGCCCTCCCAGCATATGCAGCAGTGTGAATCCCATCCCTTCTTTCCAGGCAAAACACCTACATCCAGGCTGTCTATGACTTGTGCCAGATGGTGCACCAGCGACTCCGTATCTTTCCCTACCACAATGACTTCATTTACTGGCTCAGCCCCCATGGATATCGGTTCAGGAAGGCTTGCCAGCTTGCTCACGACCACACAGGTATGCATTGTCATTATCCTCTTCCAAACTTTTCATATAGTGTGTCTGAAAGAGCCTTCAAGGAAAAGATGTGGCCAAAGTGCTCTGTCTGCCACATCTGCTGTCTCCAGCCTCTGGCCCAAAGAAACCCATCCAGAGCTGAGAATCAGGCACCCCCATGGCAGCCCTATATGTGAGTCACCTCCTTGCCCATACTGTGATCCTGCAGACCAAGGGAGCTGTGGTGGACAAAAGTTTGTGGAAAAGGATCTGCTATTGCAACAACAGTCACATGTATGTCACTTATTGTCATACTCCTGAAAAAGCAGATCTACCTGCATGTAGAAATACACATCAGTGCATTGGGAGCAGGAGGAAGCCACCTTCTTAGCTAGCTTTATGTTCAGGGGTGATTTCCAGGATCAGCATCTCCTGCCCTGCTGAGTCTTCAGCTCTTATTTACACAGACAAAGTGATCCAGGAGCGAAAGGAGTCCCTTAAAGATGAACGGGAGTTTGAGAAGACCAAGAAGAAGAGGCATTTGGACTTCCTGGACATTCTGCTCTGTGCCAAGGTGAGCAGTGAGGTGCATGCCTCATCACAGCTGAAGAGGAAACATGCCATAGGGAGCAAAATCCAGTCCCTGTGGCAGTGCCACAAACTCACAGACATCCCCAGGGGACATTATTTTACATCAGCTGAAGGTATCATGCTCAGTCCTACCCAGATGAGGAAGAATGCAGATGTCCCAGTGTTCAACCACTGAGATGCTGGCACTGTCTGGGAAGACAACCTGGAAAGGGATTTCACTGTCTTAATATAAGGGAGACAGATGGATTTACAAGCAAGAGAAAAGTGGCCCTAAATTCAGTCTATGCAGAGAATTATTCAAGGCCATCACCACCTCCTTTTGCAATGTCCCCTCCTAGGATAAATGGGACTACTGAAACTGTCTCTGTTTTTAGGACGAGACTGGAGCTGGCCTGTCTGATGAAGACCTGCGTGCTGAAGTGGACACGTTCATGTTCGAGGGGCATGACACCACAGCCAGTGGGCTCTCTTGGATCCTGTACTGCCTGGCATCACACCCTGAGCACCAGGCACGGTGCAGGGAGGAGATCCAGGACATCCTGGGTAGTCGGGACACCATTCAGTGGTAAGGCTGCGCAATTCCCCATTGCAATCATTCCTAAGTGAGCAATACCTTCAAGTCCTGGGAACTGGAGTGCTAAGGGATTGCTTTTTTCCAGGTAGCTGCATGCATGTTGTAGCCGTGGCTTTTTGTGTTTCACCATGATGTGTTTCATCATGTTGCCCATAAGCTTGCCGAATGGCTATTAATGTTGTTGGGGTGCCTAGCATGCAACGGCCTATGCTCCCTCCATGCCCCAGTTATTGCAAGGGGGAAGCAGGAGGGCACTTGCAACTCAGCATCCCCTGCCTCTGCAGGGAAGACCTGGGGAAGATGACCTACAGCACCATGTGCATCAAGGAGAGCCTTCGCCTCTACCCCCCAGTGCCTGGTGTATCCCGGCAGCTCAGCAAGCCCATCACCTTCCATGATGGTCGCACCCTGCCAGAAGGTCTGTGGATTCTGGTTCTGCTCAGTATTACAGCAGTAAAATTGTGTGTCTGTGCCACTGAGCCTTTATCTCCTCCTCAACTACTTTACAGGCACTGTCACTGCAATAAGCATTTATCTCATTCACCGAAATCCCTCGGTGTGGAAGGATCCTTTGGTAAGTTTTGGTGCTCAAACAGTGGCATTTGTGCTGCCTCTGCATTGGATGTAGCAATGAAATGCTCCATGAAGCTTCTTGTAGTAGCAGGCATGAAGATGATTTTGCTTAGCTTATAGATGAAGAATTAAATTGCATCCATGCGCCACAGTTTCTTAGTTGGAATCATTGCTCTGCCTGGTTTGTGTTGGCTGCGCTTCTCCATGGAAGCCAAGGGAGTCTGGCATATGAGACCCGGTCCACCTCAAAGTGCATCTTCTCTCCAGTGGAGTTGCTCAGAAATCATGGGGTGTTGTACTTCTGAGGGTACCAATCACAGTACCTTTGCTCCTTAAATAACCGTTTCTTTCTTGCTGTACATACTTCATTCCCAGGTGTTTGACCCGCTGCGTTTTTCTCCAGAGAATGTATCTGGCAGGCACTCTCACGCCTTTCTGCCTTTTGCTGCTGGAATGAGGTAAAACACTGGGCACGGGAAGGACAGTGGGATGCAGAAACTTATGTCCCTGGGAATGGCTTAGCCCAATGGAGCATGTGCCAAGGGCTCCTCTCTCCAGCCCCCTCGGCTGTCCCCTGCTCATGTCCCCTGGGTGATTGTTGTCTTTATGTCAGGAATTGCATCGGGCAGCAGTTTGCCATGATTGAGATGAAGGTGGCCCTGGCGCTGATCCTGCTCCGCTTCGAGCTGTCCCCTGACCTCACCAATCCCCCCCGTAAGATACCTCGGATCATCCTTCGCTCCAAGAATGGCATTCACTTGTACTTAAAGAAAATCCATTGATGCTGGAAAATGGCCTGAGCATCAGTGGGAGGGACCAAGCAGACTGGCATGAAACGTTTCCCTGGGATACAAGATTCACAGCAGCTCAGGATACGAGGATTCCTCCGCTCCTGCATGGCTGCCAGCAGCCAAACTTGTCCCTGTGGGCACCCCAGTGCCTGCAGGTCAGCTCAGGGCTGACCTCATCTCTCTTTTCTCTCTCTATGCCTGATTGCACTCAATGCACTGGTTACAGCTTGGGCTTGGAACTTTTGCTCAAGCTGCAAAATATGTTGTAATTCTTGCATTAATAAACCATTGATTCCTGTAACAGCTGCTGTTTTGAGTTTGGATTGCTAATGCACACCAGCTCATTCCCACCAGCCAACCCAGCATCTCATAGAATCATTAAGGTTGGAAAAGACCTCTAAGATCATCCAGTTATCAACCCATCCCTACCATGCCCTCTGACTGTGTCCTTTAGTGGCACAGCCCCACAGTTTCTGAACACCTCCAGGGATGGAGTCCCTACCACCAACCTGAGCAGCTGTGCCAGCGCATCAACATTCTTTCCAAGACAATATTTTTTCCTAATATCCAACCTGAACCAATGTTTTACTGAGGTTGTTAAGCATGGGACTGAAAGGTCCTCAATTTACCGCTGATGGGGATGATGGAATAGAGAAAATACTTATTAAAAAAATCCAGAAGTTATGAAACTTGGAGAGTCTGCAAGCAATTTGAAGGGTGGTATTAAAATTTGAAATAATCTTGATAAATTGGAAAAAGTGCTCAGGTGGTTAGGATGCAGCTCTGTAAGGGCACACACAAAGCACAAAAACAGATGCAGGCATTGCACAAAATGTCAAAGGAGATGGCTGGCTGTGCAGCAGCCTCTCCAAAAATGTATTTTGAAGAGATAGAGGACCATAACAGTAATGTGAATCAGTAATATCCTCCTATTGTAATCAAAGCAAACACCAAACCTGGATACACAAATACAAATATTTCTCCAAAACCTTTCCCTGCATCTCCTTTCACTAAATGAAATGAGTGTCCTTCAGCTCTATTCTGAGATTCAAGCATAAGGGCAACTGCATTTATTGCAAAATGTACCTTGCCAGCGTATTCTGAAGTACAAAATGAGAAAAATTTTTAATCAAAATAACTGAAGCCACCAGAACCAAACAATTACATTTCTGTATTGGATGGGGAGGGGACAGAACTAGGATTGCTAACCCAAATCTGCCAAAGGGATATTCTGTACCCTATAACATTGTGCTCAGCAGTAAAACTGGGGGAGCTGGCTGGGTAAAATGGCCATTGCTAAGGGACTGCTAGGCACTGGTCAACTGTTGGCAGGCATTGTGCATCACTTGTTTTGCTGTTTTTATTATTATTACCTCTTGTTTGTTTGTTTGTTTGTTTTCTTTCTTACTGAACTGTTCTGATCTCAACCCACAAGTTTTGCACTTTTCAATTTTCTCCCCCATCCCACTGTAGGGAGTCTGTGAAAGGGAGTCATGGGCTCACCTTCCAGCGTGTGATTTCTGAGAGTGCCACCCCTCTGCCCCAGATAACTTCCTCTTGCTTGATATTAAGGTACTTGACAGTAATAAAGAGACCCAGTCACATGGGATTTTATAACCTGGAGCAATGCCATAAAGACAGCCGAGCTCTAGATACAGAGAGGTTATTACCTCATTCTTTAATCCTACTTTTTGCCAAAAGGGTAATTGCAGAGATGATGAACTGACCTCGGACTCCCTGATTCAGTCTTTTAGATAACTAATTTAACTAGCTCTCGAGAGATGGGCTCTGCTGAGTGCAGTAGGGTATGTATTCATTAGAATCCTTTCATTGCTACAGCTGAACCCCATCTCTCACTAACCCACATGAGCCTGTTGGTGTCACCTTCTCACCAAGCACAGAGGGTGGCACTTTGTCCCCAGGGGATGCAGTCCCTGCACAGGACCCACGTGGCTCTCACTGCAAACCTGATATCAGGTGCTACCAGCAATCCCCAGCCAAACCCCACTGGGATTTTACACTAGGAGCAGCCTGTAAATTAAATAAATATTGCAGCATAGTTGTAAGGCAGCTGTATTAAATGCTTCCAGACATAAATTCCCCCTAGAGATGTGTGTGGTCAGATGGGATCCAGACAGCTCACATTACTCTGCGACACTTGCTGGGCTCTTTCCATCATATCCTCATATATCATGTGTTAGGAAGCCTGAAATGTTATTTCTGTTGGCAACACAGCTACATCTCATCTCTCAGCACTAAGCACTACAGGAATACACAGGGACAGATGGCTCGGACTCTTCTTCCTACCTGAATAAACACAGGCACACCCAGGGAAGCAGCTGCTGCAATGTCAATTTCAGGGGCAAAATATAATTTGCCACCTACATTTCACCTGTTTGACAGAGCAGTCCTTCTGCAATGGATGCTAACAGCACGCACCAAGTCATCACTTCTCTTGAGGTGTCTAAATTAAGTGGGAAGACTCCCTAAACCCGAGAGCAACTTTCATAGCATAAGTCCCCATAAATGAGGGTTTAGTCACTCTGCTCTTTCTTCCCTATCAGCTGAAGGCTCTTCTTTCATTTGACCTTCAAGACAACCCAAGTATACTTGACTCCATGCTCAGCCATTGATACTGGTTATTTAATAACTACTAGGGAACCAGATGGGTAAAAATCCACCCTGCACAGTTACCCATAATCAAACACATTTTCCAGGGACTTTGTCCCAGTGTGAATTTCTAGGGGATTATAAAGTTTAGTCTGACTCCATGCCAGTGATTCCCCAGACAGCTCCCTCCACCTGTGAGTCTTGGGTGAATTCTCTACCATTTTATAGGGGACTGCAGGTCCAGATCAGTCACTCTGGTAATGGGGTAGGTGTCATAGGACACCCCAAAACAGCTCTGTTGGTACCTGCCAGCGGCTCAGCTCCCATCTCTCTCTTCATCCCTTACATGACTCTGGCAAGGCACCCAACTTCTATGCATGTGCTACAGTTCTTCAGCACAAATGACCCACAGAAGCCATCCCACTGCCCTCAGGTCCTCAGCCCCCTTTTCTCTCCCATCCGTAGTCATACGTAAGGCCAGAGGAGAGGCTGAATATTGATGGGCTTGTTTCCTAGAGGGACTCTGACGAGACTGAAGGCTTTTTTAGAACTGGGTGAGAGGTAAAAGCACCTGAAGGAGAGAGAGTCCATGATACACTGGAGGCTGGGAATGGGGTCTCCTGTAGCATGCACTGCTAGAACTTCAAGGTTAACCCCAAGAATCGTGACAGATCTGTCCAAATCCTCTCTGTGATCTCATCTGGTTTCCCAGCCAGCCAGCCAATCAGCGCAAAATGCCTCCTCTCCTAATTACCTACTAATCACAACATTGAAGATGATGGAGGATGATCATAGGAAGAGCTGGAGGTGCTGTGGTAGAGAGAAGATGTATCTTCCACAGCCATGAAACCTCTGGAGTTGGTCACTCCTGCTCAGGAGCATGAAAGCAAATGGAGTCTCTCCTGCTTGGGCTATGGATGAATGTAGGATGAATTCCTTCCCCAAGGAATGCCTGAGCTGACATACTGCAATCTTTGGCCTCCTGAGCAACTTCCCACTCTCTGAATATTTGCACAGCTCCATCGAGGGATAAGAAGATACACTGAGCATCATAAAGCTGGCCAAGTGTGTGAAAAGCACTCTGCTCCGTCATGGAAGTTATCCTATCATAGAAGTTATCCAAGCCAACAGTTTAATCCTCAGCTTTGCCTTACAAAAAGTATTGGTGTTTTCTTTAAATTTCAGAATAGTTGGTTGATGTGGCTCTAATGATTTACCAGGCTCAAACAATACAGCACAATGACAAATAGCACTCAAGGGATAAGCCTCCTTTTTTCTCCTAGCCTGAAGAACAACAGACACCATCTTAAAGGAGGTTCCAGGGGTGCAGCTCTTTGCAATCCATCTTCCCATCTAGCTAACAAGAGTCCAGTTAGCTTGAGTTATCCCAGCTGAGGAAATGACCCCAGCACTTTTTCTAAGGAAATACTGAAGATTCATGGTGTTACATACAACACTGGAAGACAAGCAAGAGTGTTAGCAGCCCAGGAACAGACTTAGAGTAGCTCATAAATGTTACACCTTTCAAGTCAAAGCAAAAGTGCCCTCCAGAAGCCCTCAGGTTTATGCTGTAAGCTCTCACAAGGGGTGGATAGCTCAGAGACTGTAGTATAAATGAAACCACCCGTACCAAGGGCGCTCATTGCAATCATTAACAAACAGCTCACAAGCCAGCTGAGGGAAAAGTCACCCCGTTTACTAGCCTTCAAATATTGTCATGGAGTCAAGTAATACGTGGACAGTGAGCCTTGTGGGATATTTCCTTACAAACTTTCTGTCCCAAAGGTTTAAACATTCTGACTAGGGCTGTGTACATTCAATAAAATGATTCTACCAGCAGAAAACATGGGTTTCAATTGGCCATGTTCTAAGCCAGACTAAATGATAAAGAAAGGTGTCTATCCATCTGAAGACCTTTGTCTTGTGACATGTTAAGTCAAAGAGAAACACTCACACAACTCAGGAGCCTCATTGCTTTAGCAGGTTGGACTGACTTGTCCAGCAGCTGATGACCCATTTGATCCTTGTAATATCCAAACACCCAAATGGGAAGTTATTTCAGCCCAGCTGGAATCCCTGTCTTTACAATACACCTAGAAATCAGCCAAAAGTAGCAAATTTTCAGCCCAAGCCCTCCTGCAGCCCTGCGGGCAGGGAAAGGAAGACTCACAAGGACTGTGGAGCGAACCATCACATTATCACCCCTTCCCTTCAGGTTAGAGGTCCCTCAGTGTTACTGCAGCTCTTTTTGCTGCTCTCCCACTCTTTGATTTATGTATTGACAGAGTCAACTCTTCTAGAAAATGCTTTTGTCTCCTGGCTCATCTATATAGGACCACTTGGAAAGCATACCATGATCCCTTGTCTGCTGGTCAGGTTTTGGCTGTTCCTCTGATTACAGTCCAGCTGTGTGTTGTTACAGTCACTAAGAGCACTGTTTTTACAGCTGAGGGTGGCTGGATCAGTCCAAAAGAAGTAGTCTGTTTGCTTTTCACCTCATGTGGGTGCACTGGGGACTATCAGCACTGAACTTTCATCTACCTGGGCATATGTGAGGGGGTCAGAGCTGGAGTTCTGTGCTGCTGCAAGCATTTTCACTCACTGTTGGGATGTAACAACCTTTAGAAAAAGTAAATATTTACAGGATGTTTGCTAACAAGCCATTTCCATCCACAGGTTATTGCAAGTGGGTAAAAGGGTCAACAGGG